CTCTCTCTCATTCTCTCTCTCTCAAATAAATAAATAAAAAAAAATATTTAAAAAAAAAAAAAAAAGAAGTTTGCCTCTGAAATTTAAGAGCGACAGAGAGAGACGCTCTCCAGAGGATGCAGAGCCATGGCGCAGTGACATGGGGTTCAGGAGACATCTCTTCAGGTCTCAGTCTTTTCATTTCTAGAATGAGAGTAATAAACACCCTCCTGAAAAGACTGCTGTGAAAATGAAATGAGATTTGGCACTTGGTCAGTGTTTGATAAACAGTGCTTTTTCCTGTTGTCAGAAAGACAAAAAGCAAAAGACCTCACATGAGAGAAAAAGAAGAAAGAAGAGAAATGGGAGAGAAAACAGCACCCATGGGCTACAAATCTCCTTATAGTCCCCACCCCCTCTGGCCCACCCGAGCACTCACCCCTGACGGCCCCAGTTCCATGGGGGCTCAGCAGGGCAGCCAGGGCGATGGCTCCCAGGATCATGACTTGGGTCCGGCTCCTTATGTCTTCCAGGTGCATCTGCAGTGGCCGCCGTGAGGCAGAAAGTGAGGAGAGAATGAGGCAGAGCAGGGCAGGAAGTCCAGGACTTATTTCCCTATCTGGTGGAAGGAGAAGGGGTGGAGGCGAAATAGCTCAATGGGGCTCAGCCAGCCAGCAAATGTCAGAAGGGGTATCTCTGGTTGGGAAAGAAACTAATAGAACCACTGGGAGAGGAGGTGGGAGAGCTGTCAGGACCAAGGTGGCCCAGAAAGTCCCAATCTATGTGGGATCTGAGAATAAGAGGAAGAAAACCACAATAGAGACATCATAACCATCTTCCTCCTCTCCTGGCTGGTTCAGTCAGGTGGAGTGTGCAACTCTTAATCTCAGAGTCATGAGTTCAAGCCCCATGTTGGGTGTGGAGCCTACTTAAAATAAAAAGATCAAATCAAATAATCTTCCTCTTAATGAGATTTTTTTGAAATATGTCATTGAAGTTGATTTTGTGTTTTCTATGGGTAGTGACCTTTGTGAATGGATAACTTTTCAAAACTGCATGTCAATTCCTTTTTTTTTTAAGTTCAATTAGCCCACACATAGTACATCTTTTGTTTTTGATGAAGTGTTCAGTGATTCATTAGTTGCGTGTAACACCCAGTGCTCATCACAACACGTGCCCTCCTTAATGCCCATCACCCGGTTACCCCATCCCCCCACCCCACTCCCTTCTGCAACCCTGAGTTTGTTTCCCAGAGTCCAGAGTCTCTCACGGTTTGTCTCCCTCTGATTTCTTCCCATTCATGTTCTCTCCCTTCCCATATGGTCCTCTGTGCTATTGCTTATACTCCACATATGAGTGAAACCGTATGATAATTGTCTTTCTCTGCATCGATTCCTTTTTTTAAGATTTATTTATTTATTTATTTGAGAGAGAGAGCATGTGCACTTGAGTGGAGGGAGGGGCAGAGGGAGAGAAACTCAAGCAGACTCCCCTCTGAGCACCTGAGAGCCTGACTTGGGGCTCAATCTCACGACCTGAGCCAAAATCAAGAGTCAGACCCTTAACCACCTGAGCCACCCAGGGGCCCCTTCATATTGATTCTTAGTATCCTATAGTAATTCATTTGTTATCAAATGATATTATATTTACCATTTTATACCTTTGATAATTTTACAGGAATTCTTTGATGTTCCCAGGCAGATAAATAGAAGGCAAAAAATGCCTAATTGTTTCATTTCTAATTATTGTTCTTTTATTTCTTCTTATACAGAATTTGGTGATATAAGGCATCTTTATTTACATCTCACTGTTTGTTGTTGTTGTTGTTTTTTAAGTAGGCTCCATGCCCGACATGGGGTTCGAACTCAGGACTCCGAGATCAAGAGTCACATGCCCTATGGACTGAGCCAGCCAGGCGCCTCTAAACCTTACCATTAAGGACAATTTCCCTAATCATTTCACATTAAGTCTAATGGTAGATCTTTAGCTGATATGCTGTTTTATTACAGAGGGGTTTGGAACTACACCAAAGGGATGGGGGGAACTGCAGAAATTCCTCTGTGTGTTTATTGTTAAAATTATAGAATTTATATTATTGGATTAAATAATACGTTGTATTGGATAAAGTGTCCTGCATTACAATAATTAACATTTCTTGATTCCTTACTATGTGCAAGGCTTTGTTTTAAGAGATTCACAAATTCTGAGTATCATCCCAATTAGATTTCCCAAAACCAATGACATAATAATCTCCATTCTACATGAAAGGAAATAAGTCACAGTGGGTTAAAAAAAAAGTCTGGAAGTAGTAGAAAAGGGCTTTCTAAACCTGTGCCTGACCACTTCTCTATAATGCATCTTTGTACCTAATAGAAAACTTAAATTAAATATTTTTATATGCTTTTATTCAATTCATCAACATTTTATATAAGTACTTAATATATTTGCTGTAAATTGTATTTGTTTTGTTATTGTCTTCCTTAGGTTGTGTGTTCTGGGGGAGTATATTTACCTCATTTCAGGAACTATCTGTATTGTTTGTTGGGACTATCTGGTGTTTAAAAGTTACCAAAAATATATACATATGTTGAATTGCAAAAAAAAAGGATGGTCCCTGATAACTTCATTGATCTACTCAAAACTCTCAGATCTGTAAGTTTCTAAAGCGTTTTACACGGGTGCTCCCATTTCACCCTCAAGAATTACTGATATGCAGGTGCTACCGTCCCCATTTCAAAAATGAAGAAATGGTGGCCCAGAAAGGACAAGTAATTTGTGTAAAGTTGTACACCTACTTCCATGCCTTATCTGGTATTGAAACCCAGAGCCCCTTAGTCCATATCCTTTCTTCTTCTAAGAGCTACAGAACCGCTGAGAGGAAAAGATATACACCGCGTATTTTGCATGACTGCTTGTACAGCTCCCAGGGCTAATTCTAAGTTGGACAGGACAGTCTAATCTCCCCCAAGTCATTAACACACTGTTTAGGACTTGCTCTGTCCCAGAACATGTCTGTGCAAGGGGGATGGCGTTCACCATGGAGAAGGAATGACATTCCCTGGGATCTGTTCCTAGGGAGGAAAGTATATAAAACAATCAAGACTTATGACTCACCCAGTTGCTCAAAATGAGGATCCCTTTCCTTATACTGTCTTCAGTGAATCTTACACCTTAAAGAATCATGTGTTTTACACCAAACTTCTGTCTGATGAGTGACAATTCCTGTTTATTGGTTCATTTTTCAGAATCTGGTCACACCTGGGGATGAGGAAGGCTGCCCAAGCTCATCTCTGATATTTTAGGAGTGGGGCCCATTGAGTGAGAGCTGCTCCGACTGCAAGTCTCTCAGTCCCCATCCTTTCCCAGGCTCCAGGATGGTGGTCCCGAGGATCACTGGGGTCCCAGGGATGGCTGCTCTCATGATGTCCTTGGTGATGCTAAGCTCCCTTTTGGTTCAGAGCAGAGACACCCCAGGTAAGTGCAGAGCTGCTCCTCTTGGAGGATCCAGCTCAGGGGAATGACCTTAGGGGGCTTTCCATGTGGGCTCACTCCCTGAGAAAGGCTTTAGGGCTCTGACATCGTGCAGGGGCTGCTATTCTCAGCAGAGAGAGAAAGAGATCAGGGTGTGCATGTGATGGGGACGATGGTACCTGGTGGTCTGGAGTGATTTTGGAGGGGCAAAGTTCTCACAAAAGGGTCATCAAAATGACATCGCAACATCCATCAAAGATCAGAAAGGGGAAATTATGGTTAGTCTGCATTGTCCAAGATCTGAAGATCACTCTGTAGAATCAGTGCTCCAGGTAGGGGCCCCTTCCACAGAATCAGGCAGGAACCCTCATTCCATGACCAGTGATGGCCAGAGCAGCAGAGGAGGGTGATGACAAGCTGTGGTTAAGGCCGACAGGATACCAGTTGCAGCTGACTGTCCCTCACATTAGGAATTGGATCAGGGCACATCAGGACAGGACCAGAGAAGAAGTGAAAAACAGGATATGGCCTCTTCTAGTTCCAGTTCACCACCAAGAAACCATTAGTGATAGAATGGTGAATTTGTTTATGTTAAAATTTCCCAGCCTCCTCATCCCCATCCATAAGGCCAGCCCCACTTCCTCCTGAGGATCAGGTACTCTCAGGTCCCTTCCTTAATTTCCAGGGATAATAGCATCTGAAACTCCCAAATTCATCTGCTCAAACTCCATCCCAATGTACCCATTTCTCAGATAAGGGGAAGGGAAATTTTCAGACATTTCTGCCTCAGAAGGGCAGAGAGTTAGACAGGGCAGCTCAGCTGTGTGCTCATGCCTGCCATGAGAGAAGAAATGAAGAAGTGACAGTCCTAGACAGCCAGAGGAACTGTGGAAGTAGCTGGTGAGATGGGACAGTGTCCCACAGGAGGTGACAGGAGAAGCAATGCTGTTCTGGGGTCCAGGGGCAGTTGTGCTGAAACGAGTACATTGGAAATCAGAGCTGGGGTCTCCTTTGGGGTGAATAGAGAGCAGTGTGGTGGGTGGTGGGAGGGGTGGGGTGAGATGAAGCCAGTGGGTTCAGATTTAAAAGGAATGAATAGAGTCTCATTGTCTTGTGAGAGAGACTACTGTAGGGAGCAAGCAGGTGGACCAGGAGCTCTCTGCGCAGTTTTGATGCTGAGGAACTCATTACTGAGTGAAATGTGAGTCCTGAAAACTTGGACCCAATGGGTTGGGCACATTCCTCCAGTTTCTTATGCCTCCAACTCCTAGGATTTCTTCAACTTTCAACAGAGCAAAAATAAAAAGAGACAAAAGGGGAGATGCTGAAGTTGTTGAGAAAATACTAGAGACTATTGGGTCATGAAGAAAACTGTGGAGAAAGGAAGTATCCAATTCATGGATGAAACAGAACTGTAGCTCCAACAGCCACTTGACACATCCTTTGTTCATGACATTTACCATTCTGGCATTTAAGCCCTGGGACTCTATCTTATCACAAACCTGGGAGGCAGAGGACACCTGGGGATTTAATCTTTTGTTTACTCCACTTCTTCTATCTCCCTTTCCCAAGTGAAAGAAGAGGTGGAAAGAAAGAAATTATCAGTATTAAGTTAATAAAAGCTCCTTTTCAAGCATTAATGTTGTGCCTCAAAGGGCAGCTCCATTTGAGCCATTCTGAACAAACTAGGGCTCTGTCCTTTGTGTTTCTCTTTGTCTCCACATAATCTAAGCCATCATAGCTTGAGAAGGGGAAGGGCTCTAACCTCCAGTGACCAGGGCCAGACACTATGCTCTAGGTTTTATTTATATCATTTTATTTAATTTTAACAGTAGTCCTTCAAGGTAAATAATAATGATAATAACATCCTTTTTTTACAGGTGAAAAAGTTGAGACTCTAACAAGTTGCTTTACTTGCCCAAAGCCACACAGCTGGTCTGCAAACATCCTTATTGCTCTGTCCACATTACCTTCCTTATATCCTATGGTAATTACATATTCTTAATATGTCCTAGTCTAGAAAGATGATGTATTTTACACCTGAAGTTTTCAAGCTCTACTCTAGAAA